TGTGTGTGTGCGTACGCACAGGGAAGTCAAGGGCTAGAGTGCAGTGAACAACTGCTCGCTTCCTCCCCACTTTCAGTGACAACGCGCGGACTTTCTTGGGGCCCCCACCTTTCCTCCGTCCACGTGGTCTGGCAGAGATGTGCAGCCAAGGGACCCGATTCTCCTTCCCCAACACGGGAGAAGCATGTGACGCCAGCTAGGCAAACCAACCTCCCTCCTGGGATGCGAACTGGAAACAGAATGGTGCGGAGAAGGAAAGGGACTGGAGGAGGGTCATCTGGATGGCAGTGTCCTCAACAGGCTCCCGAGTGCTGTTCCCGAGGTCCCAGAGCTCCCTCCTGCCTGCCTTCCCTTCGTTAGGACGAGCTTCCCCAATACCCTTCTGTGGTACGTCCACATCTGAATCCCTGTGATTGAGGATCTTGACCTTAGAGAGGGTTGGATTGTCTGAGTGGGCCCTGCATGCTAACACAGAAGGGTCCTTAAAGGGAAGTGGAGGGAGATTTGACAGACACAAAGGGGAAGGTGACCGGATGAAAGCAGCAGAGACTGGACGATGCAGCTACGACCCCAGGAAGGTCGATGAATTCGGACAGCCATGAAGCACTGGAAGAGGCTCCCCTAGGCAGGCCTCGGAAGGAAGCAGAGCTTTGCCGACACCCGGATGCAGGATCTCGCCTCCAGAACGCTAGGAGGATACATTCCTGAGAGATTTGTTACGGCAGCCACTGGAAATTAATCTATTTCCTAGTAATTTTTTTTTTTTTTGGTTAGTCTATCCACTTCATTGCTTGCAACCGAAGAACCCTAATTAAGGCAATTGTTCATCACATCAATGACAAGCACAATAAATTTAACTCTTTTGACCAAGTCAGCTCCAGTTGGACAGCTACTCGGCTAGTCCAGCACAGAAGACCCAAACCCAAACCCAACTCATTGTCAGCGAGCTGACGTCAACACACAGTGTTCCCATAGAGCCGGGCAGAACTGCCCTGGTGAGTTTCTGAGACTAACTCTTTACAGGGGTAGAGAATCCCAACTTGCTCCCGAGGCAAGGCTGGTGGTTTTGAACGGCTAGCCTTGCCGTTAGCAGCTCAACTCTTAACCACTACACCACCAGGGCTCGCTCCCTAGCACAGAGGAAGCCTGTGCCAAGTCTGAGACAGGAAGCAGAGATGGGCATCTAGGTCGCTCCACAGTGTGCCCACCCTCCCCACTCACCGGAGAGCTAGTCAAGCCGCCAGCTCCAAGCAGCCAAGCAGAAACAGTCCCTGGGCCCAGGCTCTTTATATGCACAATGGTTTTAATTGGCAGACTGGGGTGGGAGTTAGTGTGGTTCTGCCAGGAGCAGACAGTCTCCTGGGGGCGGCAGGCCAGACACTTCTCCCGCTGAGCTTTCTCTACACTGACTTTAGGCACTGGTTTATGGAATCAGAGTATCGGAATGCTATCTGGTATGTCCGGGAAGACCCTAATTGTAACCTGGCAACAGCAGGCCCCAGGTGTGAAGAGGTGAGTGTGTGGAGGAGGACTGGTGTGTGGGGTAGCTTCTTCCGAGGTTCGGTGGCTTAGCTCCAGTCACCGCTCCAACCTGGAGACACGGAATCCATGCGTGCAACGGGTGTTGCGGGCCGAGTGGGTGCTGTGCCGCCGTGTCTGATCTAGGATCTTCACACGTCCAGCGACTTCTGCTTGGAAAACCCCTCACTAGCGCTCTCTTTAACTGACTGTTGCTGCGAGGCGCCCTTCCAACTCAGCCACCGTAGGTAAACCAGAGTGGAGCACCGCCAGGCCTGGGCCATCCTCACACTTGTTACGTCACTCCATCCTATCTCGGGTCTTCCTGGTCTCTGCCCTGACTTCACCAAGCAGGATGCCCTTCTCCAGGGACTGGTGTCTCCCTGACCTAATTACCTGCTACTTGTCTTCTGAGGGCAGGGCAGAGCCGCATATCCTCAGGGAAGCCTCTTTTTAAAAAACAAAACCAAAAAACCCATCTTAGGTGATAATCCTTGTTAGGTATGACGCATGCATGCTTCGTGTTCCTAAGTGTACTAGGGCTCATTAGCGTGTGTTGGTGTGATTATGGGATGAAAGCCTGTCTTCCGCGGCCAAAACAGCTGCCATCGAGTTGATCCTGACCCGGCGCAAGCCCAGGTGTGTCAATGGCGAATGGGGCTCTAGAGGGCTATCGGTTCGCCAGGCCTTTCTTCCCAGGATTCTCCTCGTGGACTAGAACCTCCAGCCTCTTGGTGAGCAGCTGAATGCATGTGCTTAGCCTTTCCGCAGTTCACAGTCTCTCTCTAGTTCAACCTCTATTGTCTCTCTTCACCCCAGTTCTTTCAAACACTCAAGACGCCAGCTGCCTCCTGGGTAAACAGAATCTACTAAGGCAGCAGTTCTCAATCTGTGGGTCATGACCCCTTTGGGGTTGATCGAACAACCCTTTCACAGGGGTCACCCAATTCATAACAGTAGCAAAATGACAGTGATGAAGTAGCAATGAAAATAATTTTATGGTTGGTGGGGGTCACCACAACACGAGGAACTGTATGAAAGGGTCACGGCATCAGGAAGGTTGAGAACCACTGTACTAAGGAGTGGTGACGTATGATACTGTCCTGTGTGGGGTGGGGAGGGAGGTGGCCCTGAGGGGAATGAGAGTGTGCCCACCATCAAGGACAGTCAAATTCGTTTAAGTGTTCCCATAAACACAACAAACCACATGTTGATGACCCTTCCAATAACCGTTGACCAGGGGCATGCAAAGGAAATCACCGGGCAGGTCTCAAAACCGCAGGGGAGAGCGGGGAGCAGGGCTATAGGGCCTCCTTTGGTCTTGTGTCCACCCATGGGCAGGATCTCTCTGGCTCTTTCCTTTCTCTGCTGCTCCTGGTGCTCACACAGGGTGGGCTGGATGAACAATGGACCCGCTCGACAGCTGCCACATCCCTGAGGTGCAGCCACGTGGTATTTTCCATCCTGAAGCCCAGTGTGGTGGCACAGAGCCAGCTAGCCCGGCAAGGACAGCACAGTGACCAGAGCTCTGGCAGCAGCATGTGGAGGGTACTCAGGGAACATTCCCTCCGCTGGCCCACCTTTTCAGCAAGGGACGGGGAGGGGTGCAGCAGGGGATGTTGAGACATCTGCCCCACAGGAGAGGGCTGGAGCTGGCCACAGGTGTCCCGAGCCTTTGCCTGGATGGACAATCAAGGCAGGCAGGGAGAGTGGGGAGGCGAGTGGATATTGAATGGGTGGGTTTCAAGCATGGCCACCAACACTTGGAAGGTCAACTAGTTCCACTTGGCTTTCATCTTCCTGTGGGTCATAGACTGTGATGGGGTCACCAGTGGGCTGACTCTGGAGATGGGGCAGGGACGTGCCTACTTCACACAGCCGGTCCTGCTGGCAACCTCAGGTCTTCCGGCCCCCTAAGAGCTCCTTCGGGGACTGTGTTGATCTCAAGACAGCCTGAGAAGGCAGCTGCAGTCCAGGGGTTCCTGGATCTGGGTTTCCTGTCCGGTTCTTTCCCTGACCCCGCAGACCACCTCCAGGGATCCGAGACCTGCCTAAAACCATCCGCAAACTGAGTGAAGCCCGAGGGAGGACAGAGTGGAAGGAACATGGATAGTGGCAAGTCACCAAGCGGGGAATCCCAAACCCAGCTTCATTGCTTCTCAGTGTGAGACACTTGTGTGGCTCAGATGCACTTCTCTGATACGCAGTGTCCTCACTGGTGACCTGGGGCTCATTCTCCTCCTCCAGCCTCGGCTCACGGAGAGGAGGCTAAGAGCAGGTACTTGGAAACAGCATCCTTTTACTTCCCCCTCTGGCTCTTACCTGCTCTGTGGGTGGCTGGGAGGTCGCTGTCCAGACTCACAGAATCTCAGGCAACACTACCTGTCCTGGACCTTTGGAGGAAGGGACCCTACTTCTGGGTCTCATCTCTCAGGCCAGCGGAAGGCGTCATGAAAAATTTAATGAGGGTGGACTCTGCTGTTTCCGCAGACTCTCCGGGATTTGGGAAGAAAGCATGAAGCGCTGGCTTGAATACACCTGAGAGTTTGGAGGCTCACTGGGGTCCTGAGCCTCCAGGTCTGCAGACCTCCCCTCCTAAGAGGTCTCACGGGATGTCTCCAGGGATTCCTCTGACACCCCGTCAATGCTGCTCAGTAAGTCTTCAAACTCCCGGTGACCACTATTGCGGACGGCTGCCTCCAGGGCCTTCTGGCGCCGGTAGAAGTGGGAGAACTTATTGAAGATGATGGTGATGGGGAGTGCTACCACCAGGATGCCCCCCAGGATGCAGCCTGAAGCTGCCAGCTTGCCCAGTACTGTCACAGGCACCACGTCTCCGTAGCCCACGGTGGTCATGCTCACCGTGCCCCACCACCAGCAGGCCGGGATGGTGTTGAAGCCCACGTCCTCCTCCTTCTCAGCGGTGTAGGCCACGCCAGAGAACACGGACACGCCCACGGCCAGGTACAGCAGTAAGATGCCCACCTCGCGGTAGCTGTGCTGGAAGAGAAGGTGGGAACCCTTCAGAGCTGGACAGGCTTAAAGACCACATAGTGAGCATGGGGGAGCGGGAAACCAAGGCTGAGGAAGCCGAAAGAACAGACCCGAGGTCACACAGCAAAGTGCAGCAGGTAGCCAAAGCCTGCCCCCTCTGATTCCATTCTAGTCCAGCCAGAATAGGCAGCAGAGCTCGCAGGCACCGGAGCCCAGGCCTAATGTCCGCTGATCAACGTGCTTACTAGAGCACGGGGTCTCTTTCGAACCCGGGAGGCACTGTTGGCAGCAGCCAATGAATGAAAAGCTTGTGGTTCTTAAGGCTTTTGCAGAACCAAGCAAACCACAGCTTGTGCTGCACAATGTGGAGAGATGGCTTCCTGTGCCCTTGCTTGAATGGCCTATCATATTTCTGACAAGTGAATCTTCTGTTCCCCCAAGGAAGCTGAGGAAGAACACGCTCCCCCTTGCCTGCCCAGAGGATGCACCTGCCTGACAAAACCCATGCCCTGAGGCCGAGACTTAGGGCAGTGAGCTAGGTGCACCCCCCCAAGATGGCCACTAGATGACCACCTCCCCCAATAAAGGTGCTAGGAGAGACTCTAACTAGAAACTTGCTTTACATGGTCTCTGCTATGTTTGGCAGACCCATGGAAAGTGAACTTGTTTCTTCTCTTTTTAAAAGACAGTCCAGCACAACGATGTCCCCATTTCCTCCCCTGGGTCAGGGGCATCATAGGGCGCCTTCCTGACATGGCCACTGGGAGGGTCCGATCGGTTGTGACATGGACAGCCACCCTCTAGTCCCAGGCCTAGCCGCCTCCGTTCACAGTGGACCTACACACGGATGGTGTCACCCACCCCACCTCTGAGGACCTACCTTGAGCGTGGCGCCCAGCGATCGGAGCCCGGTGGAGTGGCGTGCCAGCTTGAGCACCCGGAAGATGCGCATGAGGCGGAACACCTGCACGACCTTGCCCAGGTCGCCGTACCCCTCGCCGCCCGCGCCACCTTTGTCGCCGAGGATGGCCCCAGCCAGCAGCGTGAGATAGAAGGGCAGCACCGACACGATGTCGATCAGGTTGAGCGGATGGCAGAAGAAGCTGCGCGTGTTGGGGGCCAGCAGGAGCCGCGAGGACACCTCGAAGCTGAACCAGGCGATGCAGAAGTACTCGAGGCGCTGCAGCACCCGGTCCAAGTGCGCCTCGTTCGCGCCGCGGGCCGCGGCCACAGCCGCCACGGCGGCCGCCGCCTCGTGGGCCTGGTACTCCGGCAGACTGTGGATACACATGGCAGCGATGGAGGCGAGCACCACGCCGATGGAGACGCAGCTGAAGAGCTTGCTGGGCAGCGAGTAGCCGGGGTTCTCCATGGTGAGCCAGAGGCGGCGGCGCAGGCGGCCGCAGCGCGCCGCGCCGTAGCTGGCCAGCTCGCGCTGCACGTCGGAGATCTCGTCCGGGCACGGGTCCACGCTGCTGGGCGCGTCGCTGTCCTCGTCCCAGGCGCGCGGCCGGCCCACGCGCCGCTCCAGGTAGCGCGCGCGGCAGCAAGCGGCCAGCGCGCCCTCGCCCAGGCCCCAGTAGTCGGCCTCCTGGCTGAAGGCGAAGACGCACAGCTCGTCGAGCACGTGCAGGCGCCCGGTGCGGTAGAAGTGCAGCAGGCCCAGGAAGAAGCCCGGGTGCCGGTCGAAGTAGAACTCGCGCGCCGCCGCGTCGTAGTCGTCGCACAGGCCCCGGGCCTGCTCCTCCGACCTCGCCGCCTGCAGCCGGCCCAGCCGCGTGCCCGGGAAGCGCGCCAAGGCGCACGCGCTCAGCAGCCGGCGCACCCCGCCCACGTTCACGCGGAGCGCCTCGTCCCGTCGCCGCCACGGGGCGCTGGCGCGGGGGGACTCGCTCACCATGGTGGCGGAGCGCCCGGCCTGTGGACGTGAAAAGGGGGAGCTGCGAGGGGGTCTGCCAACCTCCTCTGGAAGGTTCGAACCACAACCCTACCTGCCCCGCATCCACCACCCTGGTGGCACAAGGACCAAGCGCTCGGCTGCTCATCGAAAGGTTGGCTCCCACCCAGGGGTCCCTAAGGAGAAGACACGATGACCTGCTTCCTTAAAGACCACAGCCTAGAAAAGCCAGTCGGGTAGTTCTACTTGGTCACATGGGGTCGCTGGGAGTCAAAATCAACTTGACACTGCCCGGCAGTGATGTCGGAGGCTAAGTGTGAAATGCTGGATATGCAAACCCCCTCTGGACGCAGAGCCAGGGCTGTGTTTTAATCCTCCTCAAATCACCTTCCTTGCATCTCCTCCTAGATAAAGCCGTGGGGGGTGGGGGTGGGGCTTTCTATGCCTGTAACGAGTTGCAGTCTCAGAAACGCACAGGGACGATTCTACCCTGCCTTATTGGGGCGATGGAAATGAGTCGGCATGGACCGGATGTCAGTTGACAGGCCGGTTGCACAGCAGAAAGACCTGTGAAGGCGTGTACCACTGAGTCCATTCCTGCGCCCGCCCCGCAGCAGCCACGTCTTTCCCCAGGGAGGGGCTGGTGGGTGCAAACCTTTGCATTAGCACCCTAGTGCTTAGTCATTGCATCACCAGGGTTCCTTAGCTCTGGGTGGGGGCTCATCTCTGTCTTTTCAGACAAACCTGGATAAACCAGAGGCCCCCTGGGGGATCTTAGACATGCCGGCACTCTGACCCTCTGGTCACTCCCCTGCCACACAGGACTAGTTATTGCTTCCCAGCCAAGGTTGTTGGGAAGATGGAGTTGGTCAAACAGTCTCCACAGGTGTTACCTGGACCAGCAGCAGCAGTAGCAGCTGGGAATTTGGTAGAGATGCAAATTTGGCAGACTGCGGTAGACTCAAGGAGAGACTCTGAACTTGAGGCCCAGCAGCCTGGAGGGTGATTCTGATGCTTGCTCTAGTGTGAGAACAACCGGCTTAGACTGTGGGGAGCATGTGTAGTCAGCAAGACCTGACCTTGAACTTTACCTGTCATGTGACCTTGGCCAAGCGACATAACCTCTCTCTGAGCCTCTGGCAAGTCAGAGCCAAAATAGCCACCTCCAGTGTGGTTACAAAGATGAAATAAGATTACAAGACTTAATGTCTTTATCAGGAACCCTGGTGGTGTGCGGTTAAACGATTGGCTGCTTACGAAAAGCCCCGTGGTTCAAGCCCACCAGCGCTCTGTGCAAGAAAGATGTGTCCATCTACTTCCGTAAAGATTTCCACTTTTGAAAACCTTATGGTAGAGCTGCCTTGTCCTGTGGGGCCAGAGGGTCACTGTGGGTTTTGACTCAACAGCCAGGGGATTGCGGTGGAAATGTGGCACAGAAGAGGTTTCCTCAATTTAACAAGCTGTTCCCTTGTCTTCTGAACTCAGGAGAGCTGGATTTCCATCCTGCTTCCTGCGCCTTAAAAGGGGCCCCCAGCAGCACTGTGCTTAAGCATTTGGCTGCTAACCAAAAGCAGCACCACTCTCACCCCGATGGCTCTGTTGGAAAAGATGCATCCGTAAAGACGTACAGCCCTGAAACCCCAGTGGGGCAGTTCTTCTCTGTCCTGTAGGGACAGCATCAGAAATAACGCGATGGCAATGGGCTTGGGTTGCAGCTTGGGGTCCTGGGGAAGATACCTGTTCTTCCAGACTGTGGTGCCCTTATCTGTACAATGGACGCAGTAGCACCCATCACCAAGGGTGGCTGGAGAATCAAGGTAGAGTATGGAATATGCTCTGCTTTAGTGGAGGCTGAGGATTTTGCTAGATCCTTCCACTGCCCACTGGCTCCTGGCTCCGAGGAAGTGGAGGGCCAGTGACTCACCGCTCCCACCCCCAGCCCTTCATTGTCCCCCCTCCACTGTGGGTTCAGGAGCACCAGCTTCTTGAGGTGGGTGGGAGGACTGTGTCCTGAAGTGCCTGGCCCAGTGCCTGGCCAGAGCAGGGTGCCCTTCACTTACCCTGAGCTGGGGGGCAGGTGGGTCGGGTTCTGCTTCTGGCTTTAACTTGTGTGACCTCAGGTCAGTTTCCTCCCCATCTGGCTTCAGCAATCCGACCCCTGGAATGGGAACGCCAACACTTTCAGGAAAATCCCTCTGGAGTAGGTATGCAAAGCCCCTGCCGCACAGCCCTGGGAGCTCGGTAAACATCCCCTCTGGTCAGGCCTGGCTCCAAATGCCCAGCCGAGCCCCCCACTTAGCTCTGTGATTCTGAGCAGGCCCGTTCCCCTCACACCTTCTCTCTGTAAACATTGTCTGATGCTATGATGGATGCCATGAGCTCTGAGGATAACACATGACCCTCAGTTTCCTGATCTGTAAACTGGGGAACCAGGTATGTTTAGGATGCAATGAGGTTTTGAGGATTCCCTAATGCACGATTCTTCCCAGCACGGCAGGCCCCCGGCACAGAAGAGGTGCATAATAAATGCACGTGTGGGGCAGCTAGCTCCATGCTCATCTCCTGCACCTGGACTGGGGGCTGGACAGCAAGGTTCCTCATCCAGTTCCATTACCCATTTAGCCACAGGGGAACCTCATTTTCTCACTCCCTACACTGGGGTCCGCCAACAAACAGTTCTTGGGCAGACTCTGAAGGTCAGTTAAGAAGACCACATGACCTGTCTGAATCTCCCAGCTTGTCCAGGGCACCAGCGAGCATGGACACCAGACTTGGTAACTCCAGCTTCTCTCCCTACACCTTTTTGAGTCCGATGTGTTGGACCCAGCGATGGGCACCCGTCATTCCACATTCAGCCAGACAGTCCCCAGCAGCCCGCAGGTTGGGCCTTTTAACCCATTTTACAGATGTGCAAAGGAGCTCTCCCAGCCTCCCCCAAGCACGCCAGCCCCCTCATGGTTTCCTCCTTGAGGGCATAGGGGTGGGGGCAGTCCTCGGAACCCCAATCCATCTCTCCTCTCTTTCTGAGACCACGCCCCTCCCCATGGGGGCCCCTTACCTGTCGCAGCCCCTCTGGCCGCCTGGCGTGTCGGTTCTTCAAGGTGCTCAGGCCAGGAGCCGCCGGCCGCGCCCCGGGCTCCTCTGCCCCGGGCCGCCTAGCCGTGCTGCTGCCGGCGGCCCCCCCCCCCCCCCCTTCCCGGCTCCCTCTGTCCCCCGCGGCTGAGGCCGCATCGATCGCTGCCGGCCCTCTGCGGGGGGAGGGAGGGCGGCAGCCGGCGGCCGGAGGCGGAGGTTTCTATTTCTGACTCGGTTGGGGTGTAGGTGGTGGGGGCTGGAGACCAGGGTCCCCAGAGGAGGGGTCATGCCAGCGATGGGATCCCCCTAGACAGGGCTGACAGAGGTGTGGGAGGAATGGTTTCCTTCCTGGAGCATTTAGTAAGTGCAGGCCCTCGGCTTCAGTTGAATTACCTCACTGATTCCTGACACAAACTTTTCAGGGACAAGCCCGCAGTCTGGCCTCACCGGTCAGGCTCAGTCACTGGCTCAAGGGCATCCGGCCAGGACTTGTGCACCTGGGATGGGACACAGGACTTGTGCACTTGGGACACTCCCCACATGCTCCTGAGACTTCTGCGGGGAGTGGATTCGCGTTGGAATGGGCACCAGAGTGGTTAAGAGCTAGGGTGCTATGGATGGTGGTTTGTACCCACTGTGTGGGTGAGGGGTCAGGCCTGGGAAACCCCAGGGGACAGTTCTACTCTGTCTTGTGGGGTGAATCTGAACCAACTGGCTAGCAAGGGGCTTGGGGTTTGGTATTTTCGGGAGAAGAGGATAAACTAAGAGACCCCACCAGGTTGTTACCTGAGACCTGGGAACATTTTCCCCAAATGATGAGGTTGTTTCCTCATCTGCTGGTTGGGTCCTAATTCTCACCTTCCAGGTGGGCTGTGAGGATGAAGTCCTTCCCTTGGTAAAGGTTGTGTAATCAGCAAGCAGGATGGAGAGCCCCTTGTGTGCTTGGTTGAGGATTGGGTGTGGGGGGAGCTCTGTACAAGGAAGTATTATTGTTTCACCACGGCTGTTACTGCTCTGGCCCAGCACTGCCCATTTCTTACCCTGAGCTTTATCCTACAGCCCCTGAGCTCTGCTTGCCTCAAGCTGGGCTCACTCTCAAAGAGCGAGGTGGGCTTACCACTTGCCCCTTCTTACCCTATTGGGAAAGCAAAGTCCGTTTCTGCGTGATTTTGAAACTCAGTTTCTGAGCTGGATCCATTCTCCTGCTGCAACAGACAGCCTTCTTTTCTGAAGCCTTGCCCTAACTGGATTTGCTTTTATTTGACAACTAATCATGATAATAAATCAACATCGAGGACCTACCTGGGGCCAACAAGCCCTGGTGGCGCTGCCGGATAGACATTGGGGGGTTCGTGGCAAGGCGGGCATTTCAAACCTACCAGCCACTCCGTGGCAGAAAGATGAGGCTGTCTCCTCTTGATAGCGTAGGAATGGGCCGAATGGACTCGAGCAGGCTTGGGTCTTACCCCACAGGCTTCATCTCACTGAAGCTGTAAGTGGGGTTGGCGCGTTGCCTGGTGCAGTGGGGTCAAGTTTTGCTCAGAATGACCCATGTGGCACCAGAAGACCCCCATAGGGTTTCCCTACTGGAGCACATTGCAAGGACCTTTCTTCCACCGAGCCCAGGAGGAAGTGAACCTCACACCTTTTAATTACCAGCCCAGTGCTTCACCACTGTGCCATCCAAATCCTGCCCCACTGCTGTCTATTCCATTGCAATTCCCCAAGGTTGCAATGGAATAGACAGCAGAGCAGGACTTCTCCACAGGTTGTAAATCTTTACAGAAGCAGACTGCCTCATCGTTCTCCTACAAAGCCCCTGGTGGGTTTGAACCCTCCACCTATGGGTTAGCCACCCAATACTGCACCACCAGGGTCTCTTGCAAATGGAATAGGTACAGTGGCACTGTGTTAGTCCGGGTAGACTAGAGAAACAAATTCATAGAGACACTCATGTGTATGGGAAAGAGCTTTATATCCAAGAGCAATTGAATATTGAGAAAGCATCCGCCCAGTCCAGATCAAGTCCCTAAGTCCGATATGAACCCATATGCTTGATACCAATCTATAAAGCCCTGTTCAGACTCACGAAACACATGCAGTGATGCCAAATGCAGGAAGATCACAGGCCAGTGGGTGGGAAGTCTTGTGGATCCAGTGGCATTGTAAGCATCCCAGTGCTGGCAAGGGTCTCCATGTGGCTTTTCCAGCTCCCAAGGATGCATCAGGGTAAGTTCATGTGGCTTTTCCCTAGGGATGTCTTACAGGGAGTGAGCTGAGAGAGAGTGTCTCCAGCCTCCAAGGAGGAAATACAGGAGCTCCCAGAATCCTCAAGAAAAGGCCATGCCCACACAGAGGCCTCATAGGCTATATCCTGATTGACAGGCTAGACTCCACCCCTACACTCTTAATCCTCAAATTGATACCAGATTATGCAACTACTACAGTCACACAGGTACAGAAAGGAAAGGTTTTAAGAGTCGAAGGGACTTGAGTGGGCGTAAAACTGACTCCCTGGTCCTCCAGGCCGGCACGATCCAGTAGAAATATCAAGCGAGCCTTCACAGATGCAATGAAAACTTTTCTGATGATGAAGCCAACTTCAGTGATATCTTTCATTTATCCAAATATTATCAGTTTCACATAAATCAATAAATTCTTTCCTAATGAGCTATTCTGCACCTTTGTGCTGTCTTTGAACTCTGGTGTATTTGTTTTTTTTGTTGCTGTATAACAAATTACCACGAACTTAGTGGCTGAAGACAGTGCCAATGTAATGCCCAGCTTTCTGTAGGTCAGGAGTCTGGACCTGGTATGGCTGGGTCCTTTGTTCGGAATCTCTGCTCAGACTTCTGGGCTGGAGCAAGGCATTGGTCAGAGCCAGTCTTCTCAGTGGAAACTTGGAGTTCTCTTCTAAGTTTACTGGTCTGGAGGCATAGTGGTTATGCATTGGGCTGTGATCAATGTCAGCAGTTCGAAACCACCTGCCACTTTGGAGGGAGACAGAAGAGGCTTTCAACACCCAAGTGACAATCTAGAAACTCACAGGACCGTTCTCCCCTGTCCTCTGGGGTCACTATGAGTCAACATCAACTCAATGGCCGTGAGTTTGGAGGGGTTTTCCCCTAAGCTCACAGGTTGTCGGCAGGATTCACTCCCTTGCAGAGGGCACACTGAGATCCCTGCTTTCCTCCAGCTGCTCTCTGAGCATCACTCAGATCCTCACATGCGCCCCTTATAGGCCGTTGACCACGTGGGGGTCTCCTGTCTTCCAGACAGCTGGAATGTCCGACCTGCTCTTCTGTGACCAGCCAGAGAAAGCTTGGCTTTTGAAGGACTCCCCTGATGAGGTCAGGCCCACCCAGGGCCATTTCACTTTTTCCAGAAAAGATGCATTCATGGGACAGCCCACACGTGGAGGGGGAGGGATGACCCAGGCCCCTGGTCATGGGAGTCACCCCAGAATTCTGCTCGCGCACCCATGTACAACACATCTCTTGTTGACTGGCCACATTTCAGGTCCCTGGAAGACACATGCGACGGGTGATTCTCCCCCTAAGCAGCCAACCCAGTGACAGACTGCCGTCCCAGCTTCTCCCTCGAAGCCGGGAGTGAGGGGAGGAAGGCACGGCGTGAGAATTTCACCCAGCTCCTTCATTCCCTAACAGGGAAACTGAGGCAGCCTGCACTAACCCCAGAACTCGAGGGTTCTTCCTAGAGCTGGAGGGGTGGTTCCCCCCAAAGAGGAAAGACAGACCTGTTTCTCATGGAGCTGTGATCTAGTTTCGGCCCAAGATCGTGTTGTGGGAGGTAAACTGAGTTTTGAGTGGGAGGAGCCAGGGTGGGAGTTCCTGGAGGGGGAGGGGTGTCCTACCTTTCATGTGCCTCAGTCCCTGCCTCCAAATGGCCGCTTGGACCCACTGCTGCTGAAGGCACAGCATTTGGGGATGAAGGTGACCTGGGTGTGGCGGCCAGCTTCCCACGAGGAGCTTTTTTGTGTGATCCCTGCTGGTCTTTGAGGGTGAACTGGGCTCCCTGACTCCCTTCTGCTGGATGGGACAAGGCCACCATGGTGGGGTGTCCTTTCCACGATTAGCTTGTGACTGCTGGCTGACGGATGAAGCTAGATGGAAAAAGGGCCACATCCAGCCAACAACTGGCTAGAAAATGAGCCTCCCAAGTCCAACAACCCCCGGGAAGCGGAACTTCTATTGACAACCATGTACATCTGGCAGGTGCTCTCCGCCCCTGGGGAGCCCCCTGAGGCCATGCGCTGGTGCTGGGGTTACAAAATCTGTGGGCTAATAAGCATGTGCTGCAGTGATTGGTTACTAGCAATCGTCAGCCAATAGACTGCCTTTGCATATTGCCTCTGCACCAAGCGGCTGTGTAACCTTCGACCCAGTGATGTGTCATTTTGGCTCCCGGTCTTGCTCATGGGTAGATGGGAGCCTGAGTCCCTGAGGCACAGGGCTCTGGGTGCCCACCCGCCTTGGGGTCGGCCCCAGCAAGGGGGAGAGGGCATTTCCTGAGGTGTGTTATTACCTGAGGAGGAATGTGGTCCATCGGGTCTTTATGCACCGGAATCAACACAAGGTCAGCAGCGACAGAGTGTGATGTGGTTGAGTCCTGGCTGCCCTGCTGCTCAGCTGTGAACCACTCCTCCCCAAGCCTTGACCTCTTCATTATCAGAGGGCACTGGCAGAGCCCCTCTCTCTCAGGACTGTGGGAGAGCTAGGTGGCATGTGGGGGGCACGGTCACTCAGGTTACATTATTCTAAGCAGGCAAGCTCTTATGACCATCACCCTGTGTAACAAAGGACCCCTACACCCTCTTCTCTTTCAGCCCCTCAAACCCCTGCTTAGGTTTGAGGGATATGGAAGCTGGAGAGATTTTGTTTTGTTTTTAAAGAAGCGTACTGTGTGTATTTTATATTTACACAGCCCATCTCAGAGATGAAATCAACAACAACAACAACAAAAAGGAAGTGTAACGTTGAAATGGAGTCTTACTGACAAACAAGTTCATCTCAAACAAACCAACCAAAAAAATCCATCTCCGGAAAAAACAACAACAACAAAAAAGAACCCCCACATGATGCTTCCCCTCCCACAAACATGTAGGAGAGGGCTTCAAAAAGTGCATGGCAAATGCCCACGATCTTTCCGTTCCATTCCCCCGAGCCGTGGGCAGCCCTGCGTGTGGCTCTGCTGGGCTGGAGGGGTGGCAGGGACTGCTCAGCTGCAGGCCCCGTGGCACTCTGGGAATGCCTTTCTCGTGGGGGGGTTGGGGTGGGGGGGTGTGGACACTCCAAAGGCTGACGCCTCACCTTGAACCTGGCGCACTCTCATTTTCACCCACGTGTCATTAGCTGAGCAAGGCCGGGGCCCAAGCCCAAGTCGCTGGGCCAGGGATGTGTACACACACACCCCCCTCGCCCCGCTGCCTGCCCCCAGGGGTGGGGAGAACTGAGGCAGAGAGCCCAGCCGCTCAAGCACCATGTCTCCAAATGTGTGTGTGTGCTTTGGGGGGACGGGGCATATGAAGTGGTGTCAGGGCACATCTAGGTCCAGCATTCCACAGTCCTGACCCTCGGAGGGACATGCCCAATGTCTCTTCAGGCTTTCAGTACACCGGGGATGGGAGTCCTGGTGCCCTCGTGGTTACCCGTCGGGCTGCTAACTGCAAGGGCAGCAGTTTGAAACCACCAGCAGGAGAAAGAGGTGACTGTCTCGGGAACCCACAGGGGCAGTTCTGCCCTGCCCTACGGTCACTGTGAGTCAGCATCGACTCGATGGCAGTGAGGTTGGTTTTCCGGAGCACACCAGGGAGAGGTTCAGGTTAGGGATCCAGGTCTTTAACTCCACGGTAACCCTCACCAGGGTCGATTCCATGGAGTCCCTGGGTGGTCCAGAGAGTCAGCTCGTGCCGCTGCTCCCTGGAAGGTTTGAGGTTCAGGTCCGCCCAGAGGCATTTTGGAAGGAAGTCTGGTGATCTATTTGGAAGCCAGGCTTTGAAACCTCCGTGGAGCACAGGTCTCAGACACGTGGACTTGGGGTGCCACGGCGAGTCAGCATCCACCTCCCCCACCCCCCCACCCCCAGCAGCTGGTTTCCAAAACCCAGGAAACAAGACAGAGAGCTGACAGTCTTGACAGGTGCCATCCTAGCTAGACCTGAGTCACATGATTTAATGTAGTCCCATCCGACAGGATTGGCTTTAATGAAACTTAACGGTTTCCAGGCACTAAGGGGGAGGCTCGGTGGCCTGGTGGTTATGTGTAGGCCTGCTAACTGCAAGGTCAGCACTTTGAAACCACCAGCTGCTCCGAGGGAGAAAGACGGGACTTTCTGCTCCCATAGAGAGTTACAGTCTCCGAAGTTCACAGGGGCGGGTCTAGCCTGTGCTGTAGGGTTGCCATGAATCAGCAGCAACTTGATGGCAGGGAATTGTTGGCATCTTATGCATGTAGGTGTACGACGGTTATATTCTATGTACAACAAGGGGCCTTGCCTCTCCGATGTTTGCTGGTGAGACAATGTCTTTGTAAATAAATTTATTTGTATACAAAACAGTGATGTCACTGAAAGAAACACATCAGGTCAAGAGGCATTGAGGAACCATGGCTTGGCGTCCTGCCGGCCCGGCGGACAAGGCAGAAGGAATGGTGAGTTGACTGAGGCTTACAGACCCCGGCTACAACACGCATACATCCCAGGGGCTGGGCTGTCTGCAGGAGGTGACAGGGCTCCACAGAGGGGACTTAGAGGGTCAGGAGACCCCCTGGCAGGGCAGGGGGGCCAGGCGCGTCAGGTGGAAGGAACAACACGTACAAGGGAAGAGAAGACTCCCAGCAAGCATTGAGGAGGGGCTGCCAGCTCCGCGTGTCTTGGCAGTGGGAGGAGAGGAGGCCCTGGATAGTCAGGGACTGGAGGAACTCTGCAGGAGGAATGTGGGGGTGGCAAGTTGCAAGGGAGGTGACACCAGGTTAGTGTTGGACCAGAAGGTTGGAGCTTCTGCCGGCGGTGGAGATGGTGCTGCCTGGTGGGTCAAGGGTCCCATGACCCAGGCCCCCACTTTCATCTGTTTCTCTTGAGAAGCCCACCTTGGGGGTCAGAACCCTGGATCTGGAACCTGAATTAGTTTGAGGAAAGACAGAGGAGGCAGAGGGGTGGGGGGTGTGTTTAACACCTCCCGAGGATGGGTTCTGAGTTTGGGCTTACTCTCCCCACAGCCTTCTTCAAAAGGGCAACGTGCAGCCGAGAGCAGGCTACGCGTTGCTGAAGGTCACACAGCACAGGCAGTCAGGGAAGCAAGGCTCCCAACGCCTCGTCATCCCAGCAAGACTGCCATGCCAACCCACCACCCCTCTCCCGGACGTGGGGTGACCCAGCTTCTGGGGATGTTTCCTGGTGGATTTGTTAACCAGGGGGCACAGAGAAGGAGCCGCTCCGGGCGCACCAGGGCTTACCTTTGTGGGGGTGTCTCTGCAGTCCCGGCCGCAAGGCCCAGGGCAACAGCGCTTTGAGCCGGAGCAGTCCGAGTCCGTGTGACAAAGGTGCTGTGTGGGGCTCAGGCACTGCAGGCGGTTCTGGGGACAGATGCCCTGCTTCACTGCAACACAAGGGTCTGGTGAGGCCTGCGGACACCTGGCAGGTGGGCAGCAAGGGGGAGGGGCACTTACCTGAGACCCTGGGGAGGCACTGGCGGAAGCAAGCACGGTAGCAGCACTTCCTACGGGCGGGACACTGGCTGTCATCCACGCACTGGTCAGGCACAGAGAGGAGGCAGGGCCCATCGTCTGGTGGGCAGCCTCCCGATTTCTCTATAAGAAAATGCCAAACCTTGCAGCCAAGCGGCACCTCAAGGTGCCTTCTATGGCTCTGGCCTGGGAGATCGCCTCCAAATGCCCCACCCCTATCTTTCCTGGAAGAAGTACAGCCAGAATGCTCCTGAGAGACAAGGATGGTGAGACTTGGTCTAACCTACTGGGGACGTGCTGTCAGGAGAGCCCAGTCCCTGGAGAAGGGCAGCATGCTGGTGAAGCAGAGGGGCAGCGAAAAAGAGGAAGGCATCCATGGGCTCAAACACCAGAACAACTGGGAGGCTTTCGAAGGACCAGGCAGCGTTTCATTTTGTGGTACAGAGGTTCGCGACGAGTCGGATGGAACCCACTGATCGGCACCGCACAGCCGCTGGCCTGTCCTTCAGCGAGTCTCTGTGCTGCTTTGCTCCAAGGCTCAGCTTTCTGCCTGTGGACACAGGCTGCCCAGAGCGTGACTCTCGGGTGGCAGAGGCAGCGCCATCTCTCAGGAGCTCGTTCTGCTTGGTGGCTCCTAACCCCCGTCAGCTACTTCCCTTCTGCAGGGCCCTGGCTTGTGGTCTACCTTGTCCCGCCATGCTGTCTGACACTCCACTCACCTGCTCAGCCCACCTCGGATTAGCTAGGTCAGCCCTCATCCTGCCCCAGGTCCCCAAGGTCCTTCAGCACCTGGCCCTCTGTGTTGCTTGTGGGCACCCCTCCTCTTGGCCGAAGGCTGGGTAAGCAGACGCCGCGGTCCCTATCACAGCACCTGGTACCCCCTATCAGGGGACTGTGACTGTTGGAAAGGAAGGGCCGTGAAGGGACTTCCAACCTTGCCTGTGTGCCCTGGGTGATTGTCAGCCGCAGGAGGACTGTGTGGCAAGGGGCTTTGGGTGATAAGTCTTGTCTTTGAAGCCTTACTCTGATGATCTGCCGCAGGGCTGATCCAACCACCCCTTGTGTTTGGGGTTTGGGACCATCGCTGGGTTTCACACCAAACCTGGAAATGGGTTTGTCCCTCCTTTCTGAGGCCTGAGCTACAATTGTGACTCCTGGTCTCGCAGGGCAGCGGCAGCGCTCCCTCTGCCTCCCCCACCCCTGCTGTGGCCACCACCAGAAGGGAGGAGCTTCAACTCAGCTGAGAAAGGCTGGGAGCGCACACAGCCAGAACCAGCTCTGGGTCCTCCCTTCCCACCTCCAACCGCTGCCTGGGTGCTGCCCTCCACCCCAACACACAGTAGGGGCCTTGCTCACACAGTGAGTGCTCAACTCCAGTTGCGGGAGGGGGTTGGCTAGGGTTGAATTGTTGCCGGCTGCTGGAAAAAGGAGACACCCAGGGTCACAGTGGTTATGTGTGGGCCTGCTAACCTCAAGGTCAGCAGTTCAAATCACTTGCAGTTCGGGAGAAAGACGAGGCTTTCCATCCCCCTAGAGAGTGACCTTCTCAGAAACTCCAGGGGCAGTTCTACCCTGTCCTCTATGGCATCGCATGCACTCGATGGTCCTCATCGTCATCAGAGTAGAAAGCCTCATCTTTCTCCTGAGGAGCAGTGGGTAGTTTCGAACTGCGGGTAGCAGCCCCATGAGGTACCCATAACACCACCAGGGCTCCCTGGAACGACTCAAGTCACCATTTACGCGCAGGGAGCCATTAGACCCCGTTTTAGGAGTTGGGAGGTGAGTCTTGCTGATGCCACAGGCCTCCCCTCAGGTGCCACCTTGACACTGGCTCCGAATGTCCTTGGCCCAGGGAAGTCGATGTCCCCAGACTCCTCCTTCCTCCTCTAGGCCAGGACTCAACGTCTTCGCGGGGCAGTGTTGACCTTGCAGGGACCACACCCGGCCCTGGGGTTGGGCGGCCACTTCCTGCCTCCCTCCTTCAGCATCATGGCTGGGCACCCTCCTCCCTCCTCCCCCAGGTGCACCTGCCGCAGAGAAAGACCCCTCTTGTGAGCAACAAACTTTGGCTAGGGAGGAAGAGAAGATGCAGGGAACTACTTTCTCCTGGGGGAGTGGGGGAGGGGGCCACGCGGCATAGCCACTTCGGTGTCGCCATCACCGAAGGCAGAGCCAAGGCTGTATGTGAATATAGGTCAGCGTGTTCCAGCCCCTGGGAGGCATGGAGGTGGAGGCCACACCCACATGGGGAGGCGGGCATCTGTGTTGCCTCTCCGGTGCCTTCGCCTGCCAGCAGCCAGCCCAGGCTTCCAGGGCTGGGAGTAGACAAGGGGTGGGAGGACTGTCTCTTATATTTGAGCCCCCTCTCAATAGACCCTAAATGTACACGTCCACTCACCTCTCCAACCCCTTCTACGGATTGCCCTGGAGGGTGGGGAGAGGCGGGGGAAACCCATTGCCGTCACTGGGCCATAGCTACAACCACAAAGCCGTATGCACACACAGCCACCCCCCACCCCAAAGGCCGACATGTACACACATGGATGGTCACATGACACAGCTTGGCAGCACAGACCTGCCGGTACAAAGACATGTGCACATAGAAATGCACACCACTTTGTGCGCGCACACACACACACACACACACACACACACACACACACAGGGCGGGCAGGCACAGACAAGTTGAGCCAAGCTGAAAGACCTGTCCAGGTACCCAAAACACAGGCGGCTGCCTGGCGCACAGGCACAAACAGCCCAAGCTGCTGGCAGACTGAGAACCCACAGAAGGGCACCCAAGTGAGATCACGACAGTTCTCTCTGTCCCCCACCCGCCACCCCCTCCTCCAGGCCCCCGGAGCAGAGGAATCGGAGTCTGAGAGGGGGCTTCGGAGTCTGTCCCTAAGATCTTCCTATTTGTTTCTTTCATTTTCAGCCCCATGTCTTTGCCTCCCGACTTCTGACCCAGGACTGAAAACATCCCCGCCCCTGGAGGACCACCCAACCAGCTTATCCTCACTCACCTCCCTTCTTTCGGCCTGAGACAGCAGGCAGCTGGCTCCCCAAAGCCAGGAGGGCTACCAGGAGGAAGAGGCTCCGGGTCTTCATGTTTGGGCAATGAGCACCTCCAGTGAGGTCAGGGCCCACAGGCCCTCAAATTAACACCAGAAGTCCCGGGGAGGCTACTGCAGCTGAGTCAGGGGAGGAAGGAGACGGGGTGGACAGAGTGGCAAGTGTTAGCCTCATCCTGGCTCCACCCCCCTGCCCAAGGGTGTCATTGGTAGGGGTGCAAGGAACTGGTGGCAGGGTGGGGCTGCCTTGGGTTCTGAAGGACCAGGATCCAGTCCTGCCAGTATCCTTGCTTTGCACTGTGATACTGGCCAAACGTGTGTCTCCTCGGGCCTCAGTTTGCCCCCTTTGTATAAAGGACAAGGATGGTTGGATCCTATGTTTTTAAAAAAATAAACAAAAAACCTTTTTCAGGGGCTTGAAGCCTTGGCAGTTTCTCTTGCAGGAGATGGAAGCCAGCTTCGGAAGGTGGAGGGATTTGCGAATGCCTGGGAAGGGAGGCGCGCTGCCAGAGGAGGTCGGCCTGGGCTAGCCCTGACCTCTCGAATTGGTCCCTGTGGGTGGGTAGTTTTGTTAAGCCCACCTCCTGTGGCCCCTGACCAGACTTCCTCCTGCCTGGAGCTGCCCAAGCTGTCTGGGCTGTGTGGGGCATGGGTTTTGATGTGGTTAAGATGTTTGGTCATAGATGTAGGTGCCCTCTGAGCCCCTAACATTGACCCTGTATGATACTGAGTGAACAATGGCATCTCAGCCAGGGGGACCTCACTTTGTATTTCACATCTGTGGTGCTTGTTTCTGCACTCGGTGCGGGGTGGGGTAAGAGATAAAGGGACCCAGACAAAACCATAGGAAGTCCTCTCCTCAGGGCCGGAAATAGTCTAGTAGTCCATCCTCTTCCCCCTCTCATTTGGAGAATGAGGAAACTGTGGGCCAGAGATGGGAGGGGATCGGCCCAAGAGCTCACAGCTAATTCCTGACTAAGCTGACACTTCCACCATGTCCTCCCTATACCTCCCATCCGGTTCCTAAACCCTGGAAGTTGGGCAATGCCTCCTGTCACCTGAGAAAGGAAGGTGGCATTTCAGTGTCTGCCTCATCCATTCCTGTGTAGGAAGTTCTTTCTTGGGTTTAACTTGAACCCCTCATGCTGCCTCCTGAGCCATCAGGAAAGGATGGGCCCTCTCTCTGATGACTGGATATTAGTTTTGAAATGCTTCCCTTTCTCCTCGCAGCTGGTTTATTTTAGAGGAAGAATTAATTAAATGGCTTTTTTCCCTGCCAGATGAGTTGACTTCATCGCATGTCATTTGGACATGTTTTCAGGGGAAACCAGCCTTTGAATAAAGGACATCATGCTTGGTAGAGTACCAGGGCAATGAAAAAGAGGAAGATCCTGGACACAATGGATTGACGTAGTAGATGGGACAATGGCTTAGACATACAGCAATCGTGAGGATGGCACAGGAGCACCATGAGTCAGAATGAACTCGACAGCCCCTAAAATCACCACCACCACAATTACAAATTAGACACGGTCACCGGAATGCATGCTTTCCCACTAAGACTATGTTGTAGACGTTTTCCCTGTATCGTGACATGTTCTCCAACATCATGATTTCTGATGTGCACAGGAGATTCTGTAAGATCTGTGTGCAAAAGTATATATCAACCCCCTATTGCAAAATGTGTGTATCTTTCCAATTCTTCGCTTATAAACAAAGCAGCGATGACAATCTTTTTACATATATGTTGGCCTACATCTCTATTTCCTTAGGATTAACTTCTCTATTTCCTTAGGATTAACTTGTCAAGTGGAATTGATGTCTCAAACGGCATGATCAATGTTCAGGCTTTGGATCTATCTAGTCAAGTTTCACCTGCGAAAGGAAGAACAGGGATGTGTGTGAGCCTCTACCACTCTGCAGTACATCCTATGGGTGTCGCCTACCTGACACCCCTTCATTTGGTGGAGCCATGGTTCTTGAATTCTCTAATTCTGCTTGGCTACCATGTGACCAAGGACTGCAGCCCTCAGAATGAATTGCAACTCAGTGTGAAGCAAACCAAAATCTTCACAGCTAAACCAACAGTCATGAAAAAGATACCAACTCATGTATTGCACTGAGTAAATCTGATGCACAAGAGCTCTTTAAAGTGTTGAAAAGCAAGGATGTCACTCTGGGGACTAAAGTGAGCCTGACCCAGGCCATGGTATTTATAATCACCGCTTATGCATGCGAATCGTATTCCAACAAATTTGAAAATGTTAAAGAAAGGCATACATTTCTACAAACATATCACCTACCTAAATTAACACAAACTAATGCAGAACTCCTTAACAGACCTGTAACACAAGAAGAAATAAATCTTGTAATAATAATAGTAATAATACTAAAATTCCAACCTTAAAAAGTCCAGGACCAGATGGTTTTACTGAGGAATTCTATCAATCACTTAGAAAAGAGTTAACACGAATCCAAATAAATGATTTCAGAAGATAGAGAAAAGGATATACTATTAAACTCATTTCATGAAACAAATATAGACCTGATACCTAAGACAGGCAAAGCTATCTCCAGAATTCAAAGTTATAGACCAAGATCCCTTATGAAGATAGATGCTAACATTTTTGACAGAATTCAACACACTAAGAAAATAATAAATCATGATCATACTAAGTATGCAAGGATTCACTAGATGTACAAGGAGGATTCAATATTTAAAAAAATCAATGTCATCCACCTACAAGCCAAAGAGTCATATGATTCTATTAATTGATATAGAAAAGGCATTTTATAAAGTTCAACATTCATTTTTGATAAAAGCTTTTAATAAAATAGGAATACAGGGGAAATTCCACAACACAACAAAGACCATATAGCATCTTATTTAATGAGGAAAAATTGAAAATGGGAACCAGACAGGGATGCCCTTTATCACTACTCTTATTTAATATAGTCCAAGAAATCTTAGCCAGAGCTATGTTATAAAAAATATATAATAGGCTTCCAAATTGGCAAAGAAGAAACAAAATCCTTTATTTGCAGATGACATAATCTTATACATAGAAAACTTCAAAGACAATAAAATATTGCCAGAATTAAAGATCATGATAACATAGCAGGCTATAAGATCAACAATTTAAAAATCAGTGGTATAGCAAATTCAAATTTGATGAAGGTGAAGTGCCAGAGCTTAAACTGTGAGCACAGTGGGAGCCCAGAGCCCTTCTGCAGAGCATCTAGTCAGCTTAAACCTCTAGCACAGCGGTTCTCAACCTTCCTCATGCCGTGACCCTTTAATACAGCTCCTCATGTTGGGGTGACCCCCGACCATAAAATTATTTTAGTTGCTACTTCATCACGGTACTTTTGCTACTGTTATGAATCAGGCAACCCCTGTGAGAACCGCTACTCTAGCAGATTCTCTCTGGCCACAATGGAGACTATGTAAATAGCTTTGCTATCACACAGAAATTATTATAAACTTGATTATGGTGGATGGAACTACAGAATGATACCTGATCAGATGACCTCCCTCTTGAAACAAACTGAATTTGCTCTAAATTTAAATATTTCTCACTTGTTCTATGATAGAAATTTCCTTTCTGGCTTTAAAAAAAATATTGCTGATGGTCTTTTCTTTCTTACTCTTTATCGTCATATTATTAATATTTTCTTTCTGTTTCATTTTTTTTAATTGTTTCTGTCAGGTTTCCCAGTTTATGAAGCACAGAAGGAGTGGATGCATAAAGACAATAACTGATGCAATGGTTTAACGGGGTGGGGGTGAGAGAAATTGGGAATCAAATGATGTGGGAGGGGGGAGGTAGCACTAGAACTGATTGTGATGATGTATACAAGTTTTTAAAAAAGGAATTTAACTAAGTGTAAGACATGTGGATTTTATATCAATAGAACGATTTAAAAATCAATTGGATTCTTGGATATGAAAGAAGGAATTTAGAAGAACAATATCATTTACAATAACCAGCCAGATAATGAAATACTTAGGAACAATTCTACTCAGAGAAACAAAAGACTTATACAAAGAAAACTATAAGATGCTTCTATTTTACCCACAAATGGGTAAAATTCCATGCTCATGGATAGGAAGCTTTGATACAGTGAAAATGTCAATCTTACTGAAAGCATTGTATAAATTCAAAGCAATTTAGAGCCAAGTCCCAGAACAGTTCTTTAAAGAAGTGGAAAAATTAATCACAAACTGCAAGAAGAAAGGAAAGAAATCCAAGGAGAAAAAAAAAAACACTATTCAAAAAAAAAAAAGTAGGAGGCCTTTCACTCCCAGATTTAAAAACCTATCATACAGCCAAGGTAATAAAAACTGCTTGGTATGATTTATAAACCAATAGATTAGAAGACAAATTGAAATACAATCAGGTACCTCCAGACACTGAATTTTAAAAAAATAATTAGAACACATTAAGTGGGAAGATGGGAAAGATAGATTTATCAATAAATGGTGCTAGAAAAAATTGGATCTCCATCTGCAAAAGAATTAAACAGGACACATACATGTACAAAAGCAAACTCAATGTGGATTAAAGACCTAAGTAGAATACAATGCACTGTATACATTAGGTAAAAACACGCCTAGAGGAATTTATGGAATAGCAATTGAAATGTTTCAGCAAGCTGATGAAGCACTCATTCATTTATGCCAAGAAAGTTGGAAGATGGCTACTTGGCCAACTGACTGGAAGAGATCCAGATGTGTGCCATTCCAAAGAAATCAGCACCACAGAACACTGAAACTACGTAACAATAGCATTGATACCACATGCAAGTAAGACTTTGCTGAAGATCATCCAACAGTGATTGCAGCAGGTATATTGGCAAGGAACTGCCAAAAGTCCAGGCTGGATTCAGAAGAAGATGCGGAGCAAGGGATACCATTGCTAATGTCAGATTACCTTGGCTGGAAACAGAATACCAGAAAGACGTTTATTTGCCTTTTAATGTATTTGAACTGTGTGGACTATACATTAAGGATAGCCTTGAGAAGAATGGGAACTC